CTTCAGTCCATTTTTAATGACGCACATGGGGGGGGCTACGCACTCGTTTGGCTTTGCAACGATGGTGAAATGAATAGGTGCCGATCTGGAAATGGGAACAAGGGATACCTTTTTATTATATATTTTTTTTCATTTATTTGTTTATTTTATTTTGTTTTTTTTTTTTTTATCCCCCCGTTCATTCTGCAAGGAAACCTGTTCTCGCGACTGCTCCGCGTGTTCCTGTGCCGGTGAGGGAAGGGTGTGTGTGTGTGTGTGAGGCGCGTCGCCGATTTGTGGGATGGCAGTTCTGTCCTTGCTGCTTTTCCTGGCTCCCCTTTTCCCCCGCCGCTGCGAGCACACCGACACGCCTTGTATACGATGTTATGACTTAAGATGCATTTAACCAAGTTGCTCATTTTTTTATGGAGCTTCTTCTTCACCCATGGCAGAATCGGCTGTGTGTGTCGTCTCATTCGAGACTCGCATTTGTTTTTGAGTCCGTTGGGGGGCAGCGCGTCGTCTCTGTGCGGGAGCAGAGCGAAGAGGGCGTGGTCAGCCAGGGGTGGTAGCCACTGGATGGGTGGCGAACCGATCGGGGCACCCTGCAAGGGGAGACTAAACCGAGCGACAACTCCAACGTCGGGCGGTGCCCCCGTGATGAACAGAAGTTCAAACGAGCTTTACCTGTTGAGAGGGTTCAAAAACGCCTTTGGCTTTTTTAACTTGTTTGGGGGCGACGACAATGAGGTGAGGAGATCGCGAGGAGGAGGGAGAGTCATGCGATTTACTAACCGGAGGGAACTTATAAACTCACACATACTTTTGTGTCCCCTTTTCTCTTTTTAAAGCAATTTTGCGAGGACGTCATCGCTCACCTGGGCGACATAACTAAGATGAAGCAGCTCACACAGAGTCACACGAACAGGAAGGTGATGGAAGGAGAAACAATGAAAAAGATTTTCCGCCACGTCCTAACCTCCTCCATCAGTTACAGAGTCTTAAATTGTGTGTCCTACCTGATTAGACATTACCAGGTCGATCGATCAAAGGTAGGGTTTGCGTCACTTCACCTGATGGGCTTCTCCTGCCCGACCTGCTCCACCTCCCCCATCTGCAGCGCCCACTTCCATCACCAACCTTTCCCTTTTGCTTCCCTACCCCTCCCTCAGCTGTGCACCCTGCTGAACGAATTAAGCGACGAAGTGAAGGAAATGAGGGATGCAGAAAATTTCCTGGCCCTGCACATTTTCTTCCTCGCGGACGAGAGCGTTGCGGTAGGCCACGTGAGATGATCACTGCGCAGCACGCGTGGCTCATGGGGGCACATGTACGTGTGGTTACACACAAATTACAGACCCGCTTTCCTTCCTCCCCACCCCCCCTTTTGTGCAGCTCTTCTCCATGATGCACATAATAGACTTCTTCAGAAGTAAACGCAAGTTGATGGAAGCCCAGGACGTCATTCGGAGTTAGTGAGAGTGGCTGTGCGACTGTGCGGCTGTGCGACTGTGCGGCTGTGCGAATGTGCGACTGTGCGACTGTGCGGCTGTGCGACTGTGCGAATGTGCGACTGTGCGACTGTGCGACTGTGCGACTGTGCGACTGTGCGCATGCGAACCCATGTCTTTTTTCCCCTTCCTCTAAACAGAAAAGATTTACGAGCAGTGTGTGAATGACCTCATTAGAAAAAAAATCGCCAAGTACAAACTCTTTTGTGAACGGAAGAGAATTACATTTCACTTAGGAGATGCCTTAAATAAAATTCGTTTGAATGAAAAGGAGGAAGACATTTATTTCAGTTACAACCACGCGGAGCTGTTAAAGGCGTTTGTCACAAAGGTGTCTGTGGAGAAGGGGAAGGGACTAGGTGGTGCAGAACTGGGAGAAAATTTTGCTGGAGGCGGTCATGTGGGTGATGTGCACAGGGTAGGAAGCGTGGCCCACCCCAGTACTCATCACACGAGTGAATATGCAGCGGGTGACGTTGCTAACCGCACGGCTGACCACACGGCTGACCACACGGCTGAGCGCGTCGCGGACGCATGCGCAGAAGCAGAGGAAAATGAAAACTTGATGGAGCTGAAAAAGACGTACCAGGAGATTCAGTCCTTTAACGACTCCATAATAAAGCACATCGAGTCGAACCAGCGCCTCTTCTACTTTTATGAAAACGAGTCTGAGTTTAGGAAGCGCAGAAGGCAGGCCAATGGAGAGCAGGGGCAACATGGGAACAACGGCGAGGACGGAGCAGCAGAAGAAGGAGGAGCAGCAGAAGGAGGAGCTGCAGAAGAAGGAGAAGAAGACATGGAGTCCATTCAGAAAAGAGTAGACAGCTACATACACGAATACACAAAGAGCAAAAATATGTCCATGGACCAGTTCGCTAACGAGTTCGTGCATCAGGCAGACTTGAATTTTAGGGAGTTCCTCAAGGGACTACGCTTGGAGGATGGCGACGCGATGGAGGATGGCGGAAGCGAAGAAGAAATAAACTCTCACAACGCAATCTCGAATGAAGGAATAGTGTCCATGGCAGGGGCTACCAGTCAGAAGGACCAACTCACCACATTCAAACTGAAGAAGATTCACCAAGGAGACACAAACGACTCTGGGTTCCATCTAACAAACGACATACTGTACGAACGACTTAGAATGAAAATGCTTTACCTGCTTCAAAAAACTGAATACCTTAAATATAAATACCAGCATGAAATTATAAATGAAAGATACCCCATAGAAAAAAATGAAAAAACCATTTTGGACATCCTCAAGTATGGGTATAAGATTGTTGTTACTCCGGACGTTGACAATTCAATTTTTCAGCATAATCGAAATGTGCACGGGGGTCCCTTCTCCTCGTCCTCCAGTCTGTCTTCCAACGGTGTGAAGGGCGACCTGCGGGAGGGGGCACTGAGCGGAGACGCCTACGAGGACGGCGAGTCCCTGCACACTACAAGTAGGGCAAAGCGAATGAGCGACGTTGAAGTTGCATTCGAAGCGCTGCGCGCCCGTGGAATTACCCGCCACACAGAGCAGGGGATAATAACTACGTGACGGTGCGCGCACATTTTCCATTACCACATTCAAATGTTCGTCAAATGTGCGTCAATTTTGAATCGCATTTTTTTATTCCCCACTTTGCAGAGCGTGTGTACAACTTCAAGTGTCGCCAATGCGATTATCACATTTTCAGAACGGGTAAAAGATGAAACGTAAAAGAGCGGAGCGGTGGGGGGTGTGCGCCTTCATCTGATCATGTACCCACCCACCGAAGAGTGTCTGCGGGGCAGCACGTGTAACTCACAAATACGCATTTTTTTTTTTTTTTTTTTTTATCGTGTTTTGTTCAGGCGACAATCAGCCTGCAGAAGAGATAGAGACGTGTCCACAGTGCCACGCGCGGAGTTGAGTGAGTCGTTTTTAAGTGATCGCTTTTACGTGATCGCTTTTACGTGATCGCTTTTAAGAGGTCGCTTTTCTCTCACGCACTGGAGAGCGAGCGCGCATTGGTGTATAACTTCACAAAGTAGAGGGACAAGCCTGGGTCGGAAAAAATGCCAAAGTAGCGCACCGAAGAGAAGGTGTTAGACTGGTACATAAGAAAAAAAGCAACGTAGGAGTAGACACAAAAAAAATAAATAAAGGAGAAGCAAGCAAAACAATTGTGATAAGCGAGGTAAGCAATATTCATAACCCAGTGAGATGAATTTCTCCTATTACAAAAAAGGATAGAATTCAATTTTTGGTGTACGGCACACAAGGAGCAGTACTTATGGAAGTGATTCTTATTGTATATGTAGGTGAATACATGTAAGCATTTTTGTATTCGCTGCGTGTATAAAAGGAGGAGTAGGTGAATGTCGTTTGTGTAGTAGAAGGAGGGCTGTTCCGGGGTGCTGTCTTCTTCTCCTTTGTGTGAGGATGAAGAAGATGAGTCCCGCAAACGACGCAAGTACCGACTAACCCCATTTTTAAAAAACAGACTATCATGCTCGTTGAGGTAGTTATATTGGTAGAAGACGCAGGTGTTATAAAGAGACAAAATACGATTTGCTTGATTTCTCGTGTCCACTGCATAAGCAAAGGAGAGGATGCCATTCAAGTTGGAAACCATATTAGCGTACATGTCGTGGAAGCGTTTCATGTCCATTTCCTTTTGTGTATTCTCCCTCAAATGTTCATTTATCCTCTTCACATTTTTTTCGTGGATCCTGTTGTAATACTTGTTCTTTATGGCTTCATCAACGTTAATAATATAATAATTAATCATTTTCTTTAATTTAAATATTTTCTTATGCATGTACATTTTTGCCTTTTTCGCATGTCCCTTCAATTTGTTTTTCCACATGCACAAGCTGCCCTGTTCATAATTTGCCTCACCATCTATGCTAAACCATGTGGGAAATTTTTTTATAATTTTTTCTTGTGGGGGATTATATTTGAGCTCCTCCGTTTTTGCATTCCCCTTGGCATTACCGTAAGGTCGGAAGAAGATATGCAATCCCCTTTTCTCTTCTCCACGTCGAAAGCGCTTCAATAAGTGTACCTTCAAATTGTCAATCGCATCTGATGTGTTCAGGTAAAAAATTTTATTCCCCTTTTCAATCTTAATTTTCTCCTCCAACATGAATAAGTTTTTTTTAATGCTCGCAATTTTGACGCAGCATTCGAGGAGAAGACGTAGGTACAAGACGAGGTACAGGTCATTTAATATCTTCATTCTTTCGTCCATTCCATGTTGGTGTTGTGTGTAAGTGTGTGGGTGCGTGTTTCCGTTTGCATTTTGCTTCGCTATCTCCTTCCTGTCATCCCTTTTGTGCAGGCGCTTAGGGGGCGGCACATCATTCATCGGAGGACTTGCCGACTCACGCCGCGAACCATGCCGCGATCCAAATGGGCGGCGTGCAAAACGGCCCGCTTGTTGTTGTTCCCCCCCGCTAAACAAGTGCCTGTCTGCGTCACCCCTCTCTAGGGACCGCTCCTCAGCTGCGCTGCCCCCACAAAAGAAGGACAAAAAATAATGTAGGAGGCTTCTGCCCCCCCTGTCGTCTACTTGCTCAAACAAACAACTGTTCATGAGGACGTGCCGATAATTCTTATAACAAATAAACTTAAGAATATTTACCATGTAAAAATTCACAAACATGTTTGTCTCTGTGTCAATACAAACCCGATTCACATCATCATATGCTTTATTCAATAAATATAAAAAGTTTGTGCTCACTTGATTTTCCTTTGGAGAGGGACAGGTACCACTCCCCATCGCTTTGTTAAATGTTTCTTCATATTTGTGAATACCATATTTTTCATACAGGTTTCCTCCTCTTTCCTTTCCTCGGAGGTGCTTCTTCCGTGAGGAGCATTTCTCTTCTCCTTCCTCGTTGTCGTCGCGCCCGTCGCTACTATAATGGAGGCTCCTGACCTCGTCGGGCCACACCCCTCCACCCCACGCCAGACGCATCACCCACGTGGAGAGCCAGCGACCGTCGCGACCGTTACCGCTATTATTATGGCCAGCCCGCCGCCTCGGAACGGTAAACTCCTGCTCATGGAACAAGCTCGTGTTTGAATTAACCACGTGTTGAGACAGCTGCCTCAAAATGTAAAAGCTGAGCTGCGGGGAAATGACGGCATACCTCACACTCGTATCCAATACAAGCTCATAGACATACAATTTGTTAAAAATATTTTTCTCGCTGTTCATAATGAATTTGTAATCAGGATGATGTGTGGTGCCTTCTGTTTTGTTCGTGTTATTCTTTCCCTTATGAGCACGGTTGTGTAGAAGAGTTGAAGACGGAACAGACATTTTATAAAATGGTCTCTCCCTAAGTGTGTAGTAAATTTTACGAAGCATTTTATTTTCATAAATATAATTATCGTATATGGTGAGGATAATTAGTGGTATGTGACAAAGTGCGTTATTCATTTTTAGCTTCTTCACCATTTCTACTTGGTTTATAATGTGGTTGTTGTTGCTTTTACTTTTGCTTGTCCTGCGGTGGTGGAACCAGTAGGCGGGCACCAGTACCCCGAGGGCGCAGTAGAGCAACTTGTTCCCCTTTTTCTTGCTTTCCATTTGTTCGTCCTCGTTCCCCTTGGCGCTTCTCACGCGTGGCGCCGCTACACCGCGACACCGTTAAAAAAATAATACACTGCTGAATCGGTACACCGCTGCTTCACTACGCCATGTCACACACAAACATACTGCTTCGCTGCCCTCCCCCCTTTTTTTTTTTTTTTTCGTTCCCTTTTCGGATGAAGATGTTTTTTTTTTGTTTTTTTATTGTTTTCACCTTAGCTTGGCTAAATGTTGTCTTTTCAAAGCTGAACTTCCAAAATGAGCAGCTAGCGGCATCCTTCTTCGAGGCTAACAGGAATTATCGCGTGACTAAGGAGTAAGTGGGAAGCCCGCATGTGCGAAAGGGTCGACGTGTTGAGTCGACTCCTTCTCTAGCCATCACGCGCCTGCCCAGCTGCATCAATCGTCACATGTGTTGTTTGCCCCCCCATTTTTTTTTTTTTTTTTTT